TTCCGAAAACAATTTTAGTTCGATGAAGGCTTCAGAAGAAATCACATAAATGCTTATCACAACTACATCGACGATGTCGAGTACTTCTGCGCTCAACTCGGCAATCAGAGCGTTAAAATAGACTCTCTTTGAACACGGACACGAACACACACACACACGCACACAGACACACGCACACTTACACACACATACCTGCACGCACAAATACACAAACACATTTTCATGATTGCACACAAAGACACACGCTGAGGGACAAACAGGAGGACACACTCGTTCAGGCGTGGTCTATATGCACCAAACAAAGATTCAGAAGGCCAGAAAACGCGGTAACACATGCGACAAGTCTATTGCTGGCCCACTGGAGTCACCAGCCTACAAATTTGCTACGTCATGCGAGGTAGGATGGTCGAACCAGAACTAAGCTTAACAATCGATACGTACATGCTTTCGTATCTGCTTGTATCTAATGGCCTTGGATACCATCTTTCGGTGTGCAAGGCTTTTGATATTAATTTGTTGTGAATGCATATGACGCCAATAAATGGGCTATGTGCAATTTTGTCAGAGACCGAGTAGGATAAACAAATGTCGTATTCTCCTCAGAGGCTACGAGCAGGCTGCTGTGATACAGGCCTGCTGTATGCCAGCGATTGTGTTTGGCGCCAGTCAAACTCGGTTGTTTTTCACCTGACCGACCGGGTCCGAGTCCCGTCCGGGGCGGACGAAGCGAGGATGAATCGGCAGTCGAGCCGCTGAGCCGAGAATGGCGACTTTGAGGGCAAGGCTGAAAGGAGGCTAGACAACCAGGCGAGGTCGTCTAAAATAGTTTAGTGCAACCCTCAAAGCAGCTGTTCATGGACTCGTTTTGGTGCTCGAAACCGATCAGGATTTAGACCTTCATTCACCTCATGTGAAAGAGTCTGATGAAGAGATTCGTGGGCGCGAACTGATTTGGTGCAGGCGTTGGGCTCACCTTCAGTTCAAGCGAAAACGGGCGTTGCGGAGATTCGTGCACTCCTCTCACTCAACAGGAAGGTTCTGGCCGATTTGGTTCTCGAGACAGTCGTATTCGGTGTCGATGATAATGTGACAATGTTGACCCTCTAATATTCGGATAAGGTAGGCTTTTGACACTACCAATAAAGCTAAGACATTAGTTTTACTCATCCTAGGCGGCATTTGATAAGGAAAGCATGACAGTTGAAATTTGCTCAAAATGACATGAGTCGGCCTCACGTTTACCTTCAATTTCACTCAACCTTGCTTTAGGCAGATATTCTCACTTGTACAACTGATTCGGGCCATACAGACGAGGAAAGTTGACCTCGAGCGAGCTTGACTTGTTGCCTAGAATTGCTTGAAACTAGATGGATCCTAGTCCTGATGATG